GTTTGTGACGATTGTGTCCAGCCCCTGGGATACCGCCCTCGACTAGGGTAACAACTAGGCGGAAGTCATGTTTGTGACGATTGTGTCCAGCCCCTATGATACTGCCCTCGACTAGGGTAACAACTAGGCGTGAGTCATGTTTGTGACGATTGTGTCCAGCCCCTATGATACTGCCCTCGACTAGGGTAACAACTAGGCGTGAGTCATGTTTGTGACGATTGTGTCCAGCCCCTATGATACTGCCCTCGACTAGGGTAACAACTAGGCGTGAGTCATGTTTGTGACGATTGTGTCCAGCCCCTATGATACTGCCCTCGACTAGGGTAACAACTAGGCGTGAGTCATGTTTGTGACGATTGTGTCCAGCCCCTGGGATACCGCCCTCGACTAGGGTAACAACTAGGCGGAAGTCATGTTTGTGACGATTGTGTCCAGCCCCTATGATACCGCCCTCGACTAGGGTAACAACTAGGCGTGAGTCATGTTTGTGACGATTGTGTCCAGCCCCTGGGATACCGCCCTCGACTAGGGTAACAACTAGGCGTGAGTCATGTTTGTGACGATTGTGTCCAGCCCCTATGATACCGCCCTCGACTAGGGTAACAACTAGGCGGGAGTCATGCTTGTGACGATTGTGTCCAGCCCCTGGGATACCGCCCTCGACTAGGGTAACAACTAGGCGTGAGTCATGTTTGTGACGATTGTGTCCAGCCCCTATGATACCGCCTTCGACTAGGGTAACAACTAGGCGTGAGTCATGTTTGTGACGATTGTGTCCAGCCCCTGGGATACCGCCTTCGACTAGCGTAACAACTAGGCGGAAGTCATGTTTGTGACGATTGTGTCCAGCCCCTATGATACCGCCCTCGACTAGGTTAACAACTAGGCGTGAGTCATGTTTGTGACATTTTAAAGCAGTCCTCTTTGAATAACATTCAATAATGTTTACAAATACAGAGGGTGTTTTTGTTGTTGTTGTTGTTGTTGTTGTTGCTGTTGCTGTTGTTGTATCAGCATTATAGAACGCCTGACCTGTTGCACATTTCAAATCTAAAATTAGATTTCCTGTTAAATAATGAAATCATAGACAGAATGTTTATCAAGGACGCATTAATCAAATTTCAACGATGGCATTGAATAATGATATGTCTTTTTAAAAGATACCAAAAATTGTGTTGCTATTGTAAAATATTCTTGATATCACAAAACGCTTAATGTAAGACTATTTTTCCAAATTGAATTATTTATTTTTGTTTGTTTGTTTGTTTTTAAGGTGTTTGAAGGGATGTTGTTTTTTTCCAACACTTTAAAGTTAGTTATTTTACGATGTCTGTATCATCACCACTGTAACTTGTGAGATAACATTACTTTAAATATGAGGAAATAAAATAAAAACAAGTAAGCGTTGTTTTGTTATTTCTTTCTTTTTTCCATGTTTCTTGTTTATGTCTTTGAAGTTAGTTATTTATTTATTTATTCATTAAATTGTATTTATTTTTTTTATTATTATTATTTTTTTTTTTTTTTTTTTTTTTTTTGTAGACGCACACAACACCTTGTGAATAGACAGTGTGGATGGAGTCGGAAAAAAATGCCCGATTGTTGTGAAATTAACTATCATAAAGACAAGCTTGAAATAAAACATGAAGTACTAGAATAAATCACAGTGTGAGCGCCGGTCCAGCAGCGACGGAGACTACTCTACCCGTCTCTGAAGAAAACACGTGAAGCTGGGTTACCAGCAAGTCTACATATGATAAACTTTTCGTCAATAATGAAATGTACTCTGTCAATAACTTTTGTATAAAGCACAGTACAATGATTATAACAAGTATAAATTGTAACATATACAACGTTTGGAGATCTTGGAGATAAAAACAAGGATTTTACAACAAACATAAGATGATTAATGGAATGTTATGTTCAATACTCAATATTTAATATGTTTAATTCGTTTAATATATTGCGCTTGCATGCTTAAGTTTCAGATAAACAGACTCCAACCTACAATATTCTTATTAGTCTGCATTTCACTTATCCTATCATTCCTGAAATATAAAGACATGAAGAACACTAAAGTCCGTTAGACTAAAAGTAATGTTCACGGTTGCAAGTCAGTTCTTTATAAAAGATTTACATGCAAACGCAAAACCTCTAAAACAAAAGATTGTGGTTCAAATACAACATTTCACTTTCAGGTATTATTAGAAGAGATATTAAGAAATTCATTGTCTCCTTGCTAAATATATGAATTTAGAATAAGCACAAATATAGTTTTCTTTGAATTAGAAGACATGAGATATCAAAGTTGATAACAGACGGCCAATAACAATAAAAGGGTTAAAACAACCTTTTTCCTCAATTCTCTATAACGTACGGACTAACAGAAAATGATACTCTGTTTCGAGTTCTTTCATAAAATAAGATTTACATATTCTCTGTTTTCATATCGACCAGATTCTACACATAACGTTCTAAATTTAGTAAGAGCAAGTATATGATTTTTGTCTGTGATTAAATCAAAATATCTTTCACATTTAAAATCATGTTTTAAAATGCTATACATTTGCAGGCGACTATAATTGTTTATTTCAGTATACCAAGTCTGTAAAAACGTATCTTTAATTCTTTGTTTGATAATAACAAAAGGGATATCTTTATCAAACCGGCTGATCCATACATACGCTAAACCATGGGTTGTCAAAATGTTTTTATGTTAAAAGCCCAGTTATATGTATTCCCAGAATCAACATCTTGCTTTTAAAGCATTGAACAACATCTGTGTCGTCAAGCTTATTAATTTTTTACCCAAACCTTAATCATCTTAATTTATGTCATCACAGAAAAGGGTGACGGCCTATATCACCGTATAGCGCCGAGATATTACTTGATTTTCGAACGCAGAAATTCATCTCAACAATGTTGTATGTATCTTTTCAACATCGCGTTCTTTATGCATTCCCGGTAAACTCTGATCCAAAGTGAAGGATTGAGCATACGAATGAATAAAGACTTCTACATTTCTGAGAAACAGAAACAAACAACTCAATATTATTAGATATGGTAAAAATGTTATAAAAAGCATCAGCGATATATTTCTGAGTTTTATACCAGTTTCCGTTCTTTAACAAAGTTATACCCAAATATTTGAATGAATCCACCAGTTCAATGAGGGTGTCGTTAACATAAAAATCATGGCGTGTATGCCTGCCCTTTTCGAATATCATTGCGTTTGTTTTCTAAGTATTTATCTTCAATCCCCAAAGACAGTTTATTTTAACACCAAATATCATCGACTGTAAACTCTGCGGGAACTTAGGAATCTGCGAAAAGTATTAAGAATAGCTTAAGTTCATCTTTAGAGAAAATACTCCTAAGTCGGTATTGATATACATCGCAGAACATAAACAGAAGAGGGTAACTCGGGTCCCAATGCTTCAAACCTTTATTATATTCGAAGAAGAGGGAATAATTCGTCTTATATTTAAAGATCCTGTATGTTTTGTGATTGATATTGTTACTGTGTGTATACCACACTTGCAAAAAGTTATATATGTATATAATTATGCAAATAAAACAATTTTCAAACATCAAAGAATATGTAAAATGTGTACTGCAAATATTTGTGCACATTATATTCAATCAATAAATTACATGCATTCATTTCTTATTGGAACATTTGGAATAATAATTATATCTTTATCACATGAAGATATATACCATCGTAGAAAACAAATAACCTACCTACCTACCTACCTACCTACACACTCACTCACTCACTCACTCACTCACTCACTTACGTTTTAATTTATTTATTTATTTATTTATTTATTTATTTATTTATTTATTTATTTATTTATTTATTTATTTATTTATTTATTTATTTATTTATTTACTTATTTATTTATTTATTTATTTTTTTATTTATTTATGCATTTATGTATTTATTTATGTATTTATTCATTTATTTATTTATTTATTTATTTATTTATTTATTTTATTGATTAATTGATTTATTGATTTATTGATTTATTTATTGCTGATACTCTACTATTGTTAGTAGATAACATCTTTATAAGCATATTAAATATTCTGCAGCTTATACATAATATTATACATAATAATAAATTCTATTCATTCTGTAAATTTGTAATATTTAGGTACATATGTATTTTTTTTCAATCTCATGTTTTTTTGTTAGCTGTGTCTTATGTTAATATGTTATGCTCTCCCGTGGAGGAAATAATATTTTCTATCTATGGGAAATATATCAAGATATTGATTAACTCAAAATAAAATTTTATAAATACTTACTTGGTGTAAAAAAACCTAATTGTGCAGTCTATGGAAAGGTATCTAAAGTTTTGGAATAAAATTGTTAATAATCAGCATTCACCAATATAAAGTATGTGTTAGTTTATCTATTTATTCATTCATTCATGTTTTTATTCATTTTATTATTTATTCTCATTTTATTCAATTACAGTAACTGATTTTATTTATTTATTTATTTATTTATTTATTTATTTATTTATTTATTTATTTATTTATTTATTTATTTATTTATTTATTTATTTATTTATTTATTTATTTATTTATTTTATTTATTCATTCATTCGTTCATTCATTCATTCATTCATTCAATCAATCATATCATCCACTATATATTGTGAACCACATTAAAATATTAATTAAACACAGATTCATTAACGCTTGTCTGTTGTACAAAATTTAAACCACGTGATATGCATCTATGTTTTAAGTAAAACATGCCCAAGGGCGATAACTGGCAATGTATTTATTTGTACTGATAATAATAACCAAGCATGTATAGATCGTTAGCTAAATATTTTTTTTCACTATCAAAATTAAATCAGTTAATAATACATAACATCGATGACGAGTAAATTTAAATACAACACGACTGGAATATCCCGGGGGACATTAAGAAAATCATTTTTTCAATTAAGATAATTGTTCCACGTTCACTATTAACCAAACAAGGTTTGAGAAGAAAAAAAAAGAAATTAGTCATTGAAAAAAGCATAGCTATCATAAGGATGTGAGTGTTAATATTCATTAAAGGGATTTTAAAATCTAAATGTAAGTTTATCTATTTTTGTATATTGTTTTCAATACAAAAGGATCTCTAAAGTACTAAAAAACATAAAATTCTAATTTCTTACATAGATCATATTGAGCATTTAAAAAAGAAAGATATTCAAAAGATAACGGAGAAATATGCTCGCAAATAAATAAACAATTGATATGTTTATGCCATTCTTAGCCCGATTTGAGTGAAACGCGTTACAACGATTTACAATTTATAGTCATTTTTTCACAATTATAATAATTATTTTGGTTAAACGGAGTGAGCGAATGATCTGAAATTTTGCACACAAGTTCTTTTTATCAAAACCACGGATTTATATTACATATATATAATATAAATCCGTGTCAAAACGTGCATCAAATGAAACGCTTATCTCGAAAAATTACTTCCAGTCCCGTCAAGTAAAAAAAATAACTCAGGGGAGTCCCTTTAATATTCAATTTTATCAGTTTTCATTCATTTAAAACTTTTTCAGAAACTTGATAAATAAACATCTACTATAGTCTATAGATATTTATCTAATTATAGCAATGTTGTTACTGGGGATGATCTGTTTGTATTTTTTAAATTTTATTAACCTGATTTTACGGTCAATGCACACAATATATTAATCTTCGATAAATTTTCGGTAAATTTCGTGAGATGTACACAGTAAGAAGTGTTTTCTAGTTATATTGTCAGGGTAAACTACCGGTTTATAATTTGAAAATGCCCTACGTGTTGTTAGAGCGCACATGTTCGTGATTTCTTTTCTAATTTATAACTATTTTCAACATTATTTAAGCTATGATTGGTTTTAGTTATGTTGTTATTTTTGTTTTTTAATATGTTTTGAACTTTCTTTGGTAAAGTCTATACTCTTTTTAAATTACATGTTTTAAAAATCAATATTTAAGATTGATTCGAATTAAAATCAATATAAGTCATTTCAGTGCAGTAAAATACAATACAGAAAACGAGACAAAACAGAGTTTCTAAGTTGCTTCATATCCGTGTAGACAATTTTGCAAGTTCTTGGCCATATTCATTAAAATATACTTCAAAAATTAAAAACAAAATAGGTCTAAACAAAAATGGAAAAATTAAGGATCGAACCATAGACCTCTGTCATATCAGCTAATCACTTGACCGACTGTGCTATTGCGGATGTGACGAGAACCAATATATTAAGCTAGAGTGAGTTTTTCAAACTTAGTTATATACTCCATATTAATTCTCGTAAACTATACGATCAGAACTGAAGTTTGATCGAATATTTAAATGCGTGCTATAATGTATAATTTATTCATAATTGATAGGTTCATAAAATCAGTCTATAAAAGTAGTTATAAAAATATGTTTTAATTTTAAGATGCATCATGCGTCCAGATGAGTCAAAATATTTCAAGAACATCAAACTTGAGAAAAAATCGCGTGAATGTATCTTTCTGTATTTTTTTGTTTAACAATGTTTCTATAATGAATTTAATGCATTTTAAAAAGATGTTTAACAGCTGAGGAATGTAAGGCCGAACCCGCGGAAATGTGACACAAAAGTAGCAAAATGTAAACGAAGTAGTATATTGATTCGATACAAAATATTAGTTCACTATAATTATACCAACTTCCAACAGAACAAAAGTAGCACAAAAATTCATGTATATGGCAAACGAGTATTTTTCGGAAAATTCTAACAAGATACGAAAAATGAAAGATTTTTGAGAAATCAAATTAATAGCATTTCTTGGACATAATGGGCCTTTAAGGTGCTCGTAAAGATAAAATGGAAATGGACAAAAGATCAAGCTATTTGTACAAGCGCGTGATATGTTTCTCTTTTCTTTCAGTACATTTGTTTTCGAAAAGGAAAAATGGGTTTCCCTTTTATATCATCGTCAAGTAAAGCTGGTTGTCTTGGTGGTGTTTTGTTGAGCTTATCAGTGGTGATGTATATGCTACTACATACATGTACAAATTATACATCTCTAAACTTTACATACCTAACAAGTAAGTATCATTCTATTGTTTTTTTATATACTTTTTATCATTGTTTTCAAAATAATCAAAATAATGATGATGATGATGATGATGATGATGATGATGATGATGATGATGATGATAATAATGATGGTGATTATGATGATTATGATGATGATGATGATGATGATAATGATGATTGTTACAAAATATTGCCAGCCCTATGTCCTTCAACTTCGCTCAAAGAATAAAAATTACTCCGGGACAATTGATCCCGGACATTGAACATAATGGCACCTGCCTCTCTGCGTCCGTGTCCTAGTGGTTAAGGTCGTTGACAGTCAAACCATTTGGCCGTCACCGCTGTGTGTTCGAATTCTGACATTGACTTTGGATATTTACATGTGGGAAAGCTGAGGTCTTCCTCCACCAGTGGAACATCGCCATATGATCCATACTGTGTTGGTGTGACGTAAAACCCAATCGAACATACGAACAAAATGATTCAGAAATTATGTTGGATTAATTAGCTAAAACTGTGTGTAAATCGCGTGTACAAAAACAACATATGGACACAGAACCAAGTCACTATCAAGCCGTAGTCGTGTTATTCGACATACAAAAAAATCTTACAATAAACATACGTATATTACTCGTTAAAGGCCCATTGTGTCTCACAATAGATTTTATCTTTATTTCTTAAAATCATTTTATTTTTGATGTTCTATTATAGTTTTGAAAATGTTACTCATTGGCCATATACCTGAACCATCTTTTTCTTCTGTTTTTTTTTTTTTTTTTTTTTTTTTTGGCATTAGTCGAAGTATAATGATTTAGTATTCTGTATGGAAGTCAAATTACTAGTTTGTTCACATTTTGCTAATTTCAAAACAAATAACATTACATTCAGCTCCACTTACTTCAGGTGAAAATCATCTAACATGCTCTGAAACCATTATTTACGCACTATGAAACTGACGTTTGCCCTTTCTAAAGAAGGGAAACTATATTTGAGCCAACCAAAACCAACAGAATGGGTTTGCGACCAGCATAGATCCAGACCAGCCTGCGCATCCGCACAGTCTGATGTTCGCTATCAGTTTCTCTACTTGTTATAGGGTTTGTAAGCGAACTGCATGGATCCAGACCAGCCTGCGCATCCGCGCAGTCTGATGTTCGCTATCAGTTTCTCTACTTGTTATAGGGTTTGTAAGCGAACAGCATGGATCCTGATCAGACTGCGCAGATGCGCAGGCTGATCTGGATCCATGCTGGTCGCAAACCCATTATGTTGGTTTTGTCGTGACACGGCTAATTTGTTTCTGAGGCATAATGTTCGTATTATACACTGACCTTTCCTTTGTGATTTCTTTTTTCAGTTCCAGAGCTTCGTAGGCCGGGTAAAAATGACAAACTGGTTACAACCAGGGCTACACAGATAAACAGAATAACACATTTCAAAACCACGTGCGAAAGGTATGGATTTTATGAAAATGCAGTACAAAACAAGAATATTACAATCATGGTTTTACACTCGGAGAAGTACAAATTAGCAACTAAAATTGTGCCAAAAGTTGGGTCGACATTTATGATTCAGGCGTTCCATATTCTCACAGAATCTGAATCGACCGACGTTTTTAAAAGACCAAGGAGCCATTTACACGAAGGCGAAGCGATGCCATTCAAAAGCCAAGTTGCTGTTGATACTTTAGCAGATTATACGTTCCTCGTCATGGGAAGGAACCCATACTCACGCTTGTATTCAGCCTACGTTGACAAAGTGTTTGTTTTCAATAACTTTGAAGTGGGTTTGGACATATATTCTAAACTTTACGACGAAGAAACTATAACGGAGGACCCCACGTTATGTCGCTATGACATTTCCTTTGAACAGTTTCTTAAGTATCGTTTTGATGCTGGGGGAAGTGTTGGCTCCGGGCATTATAATCCCATTATGTCAGCCAACAAATTAGCGAACTTGTGCAGTCTTCCAAAAGTCATAGTTATAAAACAAGAGAGCTTTTCGGACGATATAGACCTCGCGCTAAAAGCCGTTAAGGTTACGGGTCACGTGTACGATGTTTTATCCAATCAGCTTCACGCGAAACGGGGAAAATCTACGATCATCAGTATTGTTGAAACAGTGTACGAAAAGCTGTCACAGAAAATAGAAAAGACTTGTTTAACGTGGAATGACATTGCTAAGAAATTATGGAAATCTTTTCAAATCCAGGGCTACATCCGGGACAGCTCGAAATTTCCCGCCAAAGGAAAATACTCACGTGCTGCGGATCTAATCAGCGTTATTCGAAAGGAAATAAAACTGCGACCTTTGACACACGACGAGTCAGTAAAGCAAAGAAATAAGGCCTTAATAAAAGCATATTCGGACGTGGATGTGAGTTATATAAGGAAAATACGTGACAATTACTCTCTAGATTTTGAATTCTTTCAGTATGGGGAAGCACTTAAAGTGTAAACAAAATTTGTCTCTGTTAAGGATTCATATCAATATTGACTTAAACCATTACCGTACTTAATCAATATTTTGCTTAAATTGTGAAAAATACAGAAGTTGTGTTGATGCGTTTTTCACTTATAATTGCATTTAACTTAATTTTTGTCATGTTATATCACAGTTTACATAAATAAACTGTCTAAACTGTCTAATTACTAATTATAGTAGATTATAACGAGTTCTAAATCAAAATGTTATTACTAATCATAAAACATGTTCATACTTAATTAACAAGAACTCTACCAACATTACTTTCTTCTCGAATATTTTATAAGAATATCTAGATATTTATGATATTTTTTCTATTGTGCTGCTAAATACATGTATGTGAATAATTAATGAAATATGTACATTTTGTAGACCAATACACTTTATTTAGGGCAACTCCTATTCCATGGCTGAGTGTTTACGGTCGTTGTATTGAAACGACTTGCCCTTCACCGTTGCGGGTTCGAATCCTGACACGGACTTTGAATTCTCTAATGTGAGAAAGCTCCCAAGGACCCTTTCGGTGGTTCTATTCAGGTGCCCGGTCGTGGCTGACATAATGCATAGAAGGGCGCCTGAGGTCTTCCCTCACCAGTAAAGCTGGAAAGTCGCCATATGACCTCGTACTGTATCGGTACGCCGTTAGATAAGATAAAATGTTGTATCTCTTCCTTTCAAAGTAAGTGACGAGTTATTTGTAATTAAAACAAATCATCTCGTCTTACGGTAAGAAAATAACCGCTGATAACCGCTGGTAACCGCTGATAACACAATAACTTGCGGTTAGTACAATCTTACGGAAAAGACGGTTTTCAAAATGCAGTGATATTTATCTGAACGTGCTATTAAAATATACAACACCGTCAGTGCCGTCTGCTGTCTATGACGTACATATTGTGCACGCGCTCTTGTGAATCTTCTGCAAATAACTATGGTACACGTAATGAAATTATGAATTGAAAAGACAGCAGTCTTGTCGTCTAGAAATCTGTGTTATTGACGTACATAATTATATATTTTAGACAGTCAATCCCTAAAAATGACTTTAGCTCTGCATGCCGTGTTAAATGCACACCTGACATTTAAAAAAACATATAAAATGTTGCCTAACATGCAATCAAACGGTCACATTTTCTAAATATACACTTCATACCAAACCCTAACCCAACCCGCTGACATTCGTCTGCGATTAATTCCGAAAACATATAATTACGAAGAAACACTACAAATATAAAGTTTTAACATTTTTCTCAGAATGAGTATAGCGTGAGATTTTTTTTCATTAGAACAAATATTTTATAAGATAATTATATTAAATATGTTTTGCTAAAAATTGTTTACCGGCTTTTCTTAATGTAGTTTCGAGGTTCAAGATTTTAAAGTACACTTGTGATTTCTGTTGCCGTAAACAATAATGGCAATGTTTACATGCTTGTAAATAAATGTATAAAACATCTAAATACGACAAGCGTAAAATTACATATATAATATCACAGTCAAGAAATGAATTCTAAAAATATAATAATTAATGTTTGAAATTAGTTTAAATAGGCTACCAGTTATTTCTCTAGCAAAAGTTGCATCGTAAATAAATTTAGATAATTTGGGTCCCTAAAGCAAGCCCAGGATAGAGAATTATTGTATGGCTCTTAACAACAGGCAAGCTCTACCTGACATTATCAAATCGTGGGATGTGTGCTTAATTTTCACATGATTTACGCACGGGCTTTCGCGCAACTCTAGCATGATTCACTCGTAACTTATACACGTGCGATAACGTAATTTATATTTAGCATGATTTTTTTTTATAAAACGGCTTGCATGGAAATTTGTGTTATTATGTTATTTCCACGTGTATTTTTCATACTAGCCATTTTCATGTGATTTCCTAATAGTTTTCGTCCTTGAAGCACAATTTTAGCATAATTTGTGCATGGATTGCATGATATTTGTTCATGAGTAATGCGTGCATAACTTTTCAGGTAAGTTTATGCAAAAGGCTTTTAATAATATCTCATAAACCGAGAATTTAGAATGTGTTACCATTGTTTTCGCGTGATATTCTCTTTCCAGATATTTTTGCACGTAAATTTAGCTTGATCAAAGAGAGTATATTATATGATCTGTTTTCAAAAAACAAACATATACATGTAACATGTGTAAAGAACATTAATCTGATCTTGTTGATGTCTTTCAGAGGCGTATTTTTATTTCACTTGACGTGTACATTGTTCAACAGTTAAAGATACAAGATCTTTATCATTTTAAGTGGAGTACATGTACTTGATGCTTCTGGGCAAATATTTTGATAAATTGCTTTGATTCTAATTGATAAATAATGAATATGGTCAATAAATAAACTTTTTGTACTTGTTTGTTGTTTATTTTATGTCAGCCCTTTATCGGATAAATCATGTGATTTGTCATTGTAAAAAAAATAGCGCTACTGTAGGGAACGCCTTAAATTTAGTCAAGGGAGATACTCTTATATTTGATAAAAGTTCAAAATACACTACTATTGTTGCACCATGACCATTTACAGTGTTTGTATTTTTATTTTGACACTGTAATATTTTTTTGTAAAAACCCTTGTGCATTCAATGGTTAAGACATAAGAATTGCTGCAGCCACCGTTAATCCCTGCGTGATCGTAATCCCTGCGTGATCTTAGAAGGCGACCAAATAGGTTCGAATAACTGGTGTCTATAGACATATCTCTAAGCTCAAGCCAGTGAGGTGGTTTGAAGTTTGTGACACACAAGGTAAACCAAAATCATTTTTCCTGTTTCGGCGCCAATATGACATGAACTTTGTTGGTGCGCCGTAAAAATCAAACCAACAAACAAGCAAATACTTTCATATAAAATGATATTATATATATTTATATGATATAAGGCGTCGTTTTCATACGGTGGCTTATATACGCCATGACGTATGTTCGATTTGATTTGTTGTTGTTGTTTTTGTTTTGTTGTTGCTGTTGTTGGGGTTTTTTTTTCTTTTTTTTTTTGGGGGGGGGGTGGGTTTTTTTTTGGGGGGGGGGGGGCTTGGCCAAGAAAACTCAAAGATACAAGAAATTTAAGAGAATAGCAAAGAAAGAGGTTTCTGAAATAGGGTCCACTCTGAAATAATGTATGGTATTGAAAATTAATACAAAAAAAAATATTTATTTTGATATTTATTAATTTATTTAATTATTCTTTTATTTTATATAAAGAATACCAAGTAAATGTAACTTTACCGGCTATCTTAAAAATATACAAGGCGTCTTTGAATATGTGTTATTATTGTTTATAGAGATATTCCCAGATATTCCTAGGGTTTCTTATACATGTAGTGTCTAAAACTGGTACTTCGATGATATGAATTGCACGAACATAGATTAAAACAAAGTATGTTACTATGTCAAAGTATATATATATATATATGTTTATCACTGGAACAGTTAGTGTAACTATATCTCTAGTGACAGTGAATATTGTGGCGCCGTTATATGTCGCAACGCCGCTAAATGTCGCACCATTGCCGCTAAATGTCGCAACCGCCGTTAAATGTCGCAATGTTAACGTTAAATGTCGCACGAATTTACCTTACCGTTAAATGTTGCAACACTACCGTTAAATGTCGCAAGATGTAAATTCATGTTAAAATCATGATTAAAAGTAGTATTATATTACTTTTTAACATTCTCATAGTTATTTTTATTGTAATTGCCATTACACAAAAAGTATCTTTGTTTTACTTGTTTATTTTTATGGACCTTAATATCGAGGTTTTGAGCTGCTATATAATGTAATCTTCACGCTAGAATGGATACAATTGATATTGAATTCTCAATAGATAGGTATTTTCTTTTGTCTCCCATTTTCATTTGCAACCCTGATTGACAACAGTTTAAAGGTATTATGATATTGTCGCTCTCCGAATTTGCTTTAAGTAATTTCATTTATTTTCATAGAAAATACCAAATTTACTTTAAACGTGGTTTACTTGATCACTATGATCATATGATGCAATATCAAAGTGCAGATAATCCTAGTTATATTTTTGCAAAGTTATGCCCTTTATTTCTTTAAGATGTTTTCGCTCTGATAAACCTTTTAGTTTCGGCTTATTTCAAACATATTCACTTAAAATTTAAAATACTTACTTCATATAAAAGTAAAATACATTTCTAAAGGACAGATGATCCTGAAAAGATTTTTTTTTTCTCTAAATTATCTCCCTTTTTATATTTTCCCAAAAACCATCACAAAAATTCACTTCAAACTTGAAATATTGATTGAATATCAAGGCAAAAATTTCATTTTATCAGAAACGGCAGATACCTGAAAAACACGCACAGTAAGAAATGCACGATCAATGAGAAAATCGAATCAAAATGTATCATGTAGTACTCCTTGATCTTGGGTTTGCCGATCCGCAGTCGGTTTAAATATGAGCGAATTACACGATTAACATATATTATATGTATACCGGCAGTTTTGTAAGCAGATGTCAAAGTTAGATAACGTACATAAGATTTAGTACATTTTACCATTTGTCAAACACTTTTTACGCTTTGACATTGTGGCAAGTGATATTTTACTCACCTATGGAAGTGTCTCGATAAATATTATATAATTAGAATACATAAAATTGGTCAGGCTCATATTGGTGTTGCTGTTTGGCTAAAGACAGCCGAGAATGTAGGTTTTTTTATATTATTGCTTTGCTGTAATGGAAATCTTAATTCTGTACCGCTTCATTACTAAATATTACAATGAAATTTAATCTGACATTTTTCGGAAAAACACAAGACATACATTATACATGTGTAACGACGATATTGGTAAGATATATGTAACCACTCGTAGTTTTTTTGTAACAAGTTTGATTTGAACTTTTTTATTTCTTATCATGTCCTATTGCGCATGTCGAGTACGTCATAGTGAAGTTCAAATGACCATAAATACAAAACATACGCACAATAGAGTATCTATTTAAAGATAATTTAAAGAACTTTATTGTTCAAAACAAAACATGAAACAGATGTGTAAAGAAAATATCTTTTTAATTTATTGCAACAATAATATGAATGACCACTGCCTTTTTGACGTTAAAATAGAAATAAAAACACGCATACGAGTAGCAAATTTAATAAAAGCATAAACTGTTTAAACTAGTTTAGCATTTATGACCATGACCTATTGGTCCCTTCCTCAGTCAAAAGGAAGAATACCATGTAAGTTATCTTCTTTCCAAATATGAAATACATCTGTCAATAAATAAAGGCTGTTAAGTGTTAAATCTATTTTTAAAACTGGTGACCTAGACCCAACTGAAAAAGGAGAGGACTTCAATTTTATGTTCCTACCAAATATAAAATACACCTGTCAATAGAATAATGTAAATACACCTGTAAAAATGTGGAAATTTTTTGACATTGGTGATTTTGACCTTGACCCACATGACCCCTTACTAAATCCAAAGGTAGAGGACCTCCCTTGGCATGTTGGGTGGGTGGACGGACGGACGGACGGACGGACGGACGGACGGACGGACGGACGGACGGACGGACGGACGGACGGACGGACGGACGGACGGACGGACGGACGGACGGACGGACGGACGGACGGACGGACGGACGGACGGACGGACGGACGGACGGACGGACAGACAGACAGACAGACAGACAGACAGACAGACAGACAGACAGACAGACAGACAGACAGACAAGACAGACAGACAGACAGACAGACAG